GTAGGGAGCACGTGAACCGTGGACAACAAAGAATACACTTGTGAAATGTAGGGAGCACGTGAACCGTGGACAACAAAGAATACACTTGTGAAATGTAGGGAGCACGTGAACCGTGGACAACAAAGAATACACTTGTGAAATGTAGGGAGCACGTGAACCGTAGACAACAAAGAATACACTTGTGAAATGTAGGGAGCACGTGAACCGTAGACAACAAAGAATACACTTGTGAAATGTAGGGAGCACGTGAACCGTAGACAACAAAGAATACACTTGTGAAATGTAGGGAGCACGTGAACCATAGACAACAAAGAATACACTTGTGAAATGTAGGGAACACGTGAACCGTAGATACTAAAGAATACACTTGTTAAATACAGTGAGAATGGTAACTACGTAACAAAAGTCAGTTGTTATAAACAATGCTGAGTAAAAATACTAAATATAGAAATTAAGAGAGTTTAAATTGTGATTGAAGGAAAAATCCTAACCTTTCTATAAACCATGCCAACCATTCCTGTCCATTTCCCGTCCGGTCCAATGTGGCCCCAGTGACCATCAGGAGGGGTGTATAGCTTATAACTGTAAATGAATACTAATATAAAGATTACAGTACGACAGTTTTTGTATGTTGAATGTGAACGAAGCAGAAATCGGTAGTTTAAGTATTTATTGAACATTTATTTTCTGTAGATTTGTCTTAAACTAAAATGGTATCAACTTGTGTTTGATACAACTGGTTTTAAACTGGGTGAAACCTTTTATTTTTCTATGTGAAATATGGAGTGGGGGGGGGGGAGGAGCCCACAGCAGTAACAAGTGGTGTTATTAAAATCGTGAATGGATTTTTAATGTACATTTTTTGTACGGCACTCATGTGTGTACCTTCGATGGATCAGCGAAAATATCAAAAGATTATCACCAACAAATTCGGGGTTCGATACCAGGTTCAAACACAGTTCATCATGTAATTTCTTTTCAGTGAAGCAAACAAACGTAACGCCGATTCTATTATGCAAATAAATACGGGGGGGGGGGTAATTTATAGGCAAAATTCTCCAGGTTAGTCGTAGTTTTAACTCACTAGTCTACCATAAGCGTGAGTCACGATTAGTTTCTACGGTACAGTAGGATAATTCTCCAGGTTAGTCGTAGTTTTAACTCACTAGTCTACCATAAGCGTGAGGCACTATTAGTTTTTACGATACAATAGGCTAATTCCCCAGGTTAGTCGTAGTTTTACCTCACGTGTCTTTTACGTTATCTAACTATAGCCAAAGTATCGGGGAAAGAAGTCTGAATGTAGCTAATAAATGTAGAATAGATTTGTAAAAATGTGTAGGATATTTAACACACAAGTTCCAAAGACAGAATAACCAACAATAATTCGAGATCTTCCTTCTGTACGATATTTTTGAACGAATTTAAGATACGCTTATTATACCTTACTTTAAATAAGGACAGTTTTCTTTCTAGGTGTTGCCTTTTTTTGTAAACAAGCTACTACCAGGCGGAGAACTAAAACCGGAGGAGGGGATTGACTTCGAAATCCTGAAGACACTGAGCGAGTATTTTGGATTTAGGTGATTTTTTTCCACTTTTTTTGGTAGAATCGCTTTAGCTTTAGCATTAGCTCCACCGTGCTCAAACGTAAACAGTTAACTCTAAAGATTCCTGTTTTTCAAGCAGGTTTTATTACAAACTATTTATTTGTCGAATTTCGAGTCACGATTAGTTTCTACGGTACAGTAGGCTGTGTCTGCCATAAGCGTGAGTCACGATTAGTTTCTACGATACAGTAGGCTAATTCCCCAGGTTAGTCGTAGTTTTACCTCACGTGTCTGCCTCAACGTGTATTAGTGTTTTTCCAGATAGTGATTCTTTATCCGTGGTGTCTAAAAATCCTTCAGGAATCCATGTTTCTAGTTTCAAACGTTTCTTCCACCTGCCTAGAGTTTTTTCTTTTGTGCAGTCTTTAAATCCAGATTCTGGTCCTTTAATCGCGTAAGATTCTGAGCAACCTGAGTTCTATTACAAAGAGCGAAATAAGAAGATAAGAAAAAAAAAACAAAATAAAATTTGGAGAAACAAGTTTATTAAATGTTGTTAAAGTTCATCACTAAATCAATCTCTATACAAACTTGTTTGTCCCGACAACGGTAAATCTAAGGACTTGCAAACAAAAATCAAGGGTTTGTTTCCCCGCAGTGGACACAGCAAAGAGCTCAATGTGGCGTGTATATATATATAATTAAAAAAAAAGATTACATCATAATAGAGTGAATTTAACAAGCATATCTAAATCATAAATGAAAAATATTTAATTGCAATATTACGTAGAACATGAAAGAGGAAATGAAAAAAGAAACAACACCGCTACAACCAGACGTTTACTTTTTTACAGATGATTTAACTACATTTATTTCTTCCAGTTCCCTGCTCCATGCGTTTTATTAAAGGACAGGTGGTTAGTTAAAGTGGGAGAAATTGTGTTAGACAAATAATAACAGTATGTTTAACATATTATTTAATTTCATTATTTATCTTAATATGTATTTAAGCCTAACCCTAAATCTCCTAAGCTGACCGAGCCTTCTGATATATTATTGGGTTTACGGCCGATAGTGTCATTAATAGGGAGGGTACCCAACTGATGAATCAATGTATTTTAACCTTCATAAGTAAGAACGTAAGTTTATTTTGTTTTACAGTAAAATCTCATTGGGTTATCTGCTGTGTCCACCGCGGAGAATCGAGCCCCGGATTTTAACGTTGCAAGTCAGTAACTTAACGCCATTCCACCGAAGGGACACAAACGTAATAAAAGCATATTTAATTAGATGTAATTGTTACTAGAATCACTTTTAGTCTCGTTTCAAGTAGGTGGTTTGTTTTGATCGGACGTTCATACTTATATACACTTGATAAGTCGGTATTACTGTAATATTAAAAATACAAATAAATAAATAATATAAGTACAACTTTAATACTGAATAAAGTCTGCTTCATAAATATTACAAAAATACTAATATAAACACATTGATCATTAGGATTCAAAGGAAAGTTAGAACAAACAGATGGACCGAACCACTGTAACAAGTCTACAGACAGTTACTTACCCCATAGGAACAGCTGGACCGAACCACTATTACAAGTCTACAGACAGTTAGTTATTCGGTCCAGCTGTTCCTATGGGGCCACTGTAGCCAGTCTACAAGAAGACATTGGAAGTAGCTGAGAACGATTAAAAGGCGTGTTCTGCCCTTTTCCTATTATCACCCAACGTAGCCACGGGTTGGTTATTGAGAGTTCCTCAATCTAATCAAATAGAGTGTTTACTTTTAAAACTAAGCTCAAATAAATGCTGTGGTAATGAAATTACATATCTCAAGCTCAAACCTAAATATATTTCTTACGTATTTATATGTAGGTTAAACTAAGGATTTTGTGTTATTATATCTCCTTTAAGCTTGATAAAAAATAACAGAAAAATAAATGAATTTTTTTTTCTTTTCGTTATAATCGGTAAATTATATTTCTTACAGACTTGAATTGCGTTGAAAACTTGAAATTCTAATAATATGTGTTTAAATTACCACCAAGTGGTATTCGCACGCGCATTTATAGAAAATGAACGTGAGTTTTAAAAGTTAAAAGAAATATTGAATTACAACTGAAAATTTTAAATTAATAAAATAGAAAATAACCCACTGTTTTGTTTTATGGCTTCACGTACAGAAACAACACGACAAAAACCTGAAATCCCTTTAATAACGTAACAGACTTACCACAGACAATAAGTACGGCTGAGTCATGCAGAAAGTAAAGACGTAAATGTGGCCACGAAGATCCTGTAAAGCATCTAGCGATTGTTTTAGTTTCTTTAAACTCCTCTCGAGGGCGTTATTTGACCCAAACTCTAGGCCTAGAGTCACAATCGGCACTTGAGATCTGCTCAAGGCCTTAACCACTTCGTTATAATAGTCTTCATCTGCTTAGAGAAATTTGTAATTTTAGATTTAAACTAACTGATAAGACGTTTCGTCAGCATAAAATAAAACATGACCAAATGCTAAGTTCTGCGACAAGCCAAGACTTGTTTGTTTGTAGTTAAGCGCAAAGCTACGCAAATGGCCATCAGTGCCCACCACGCGTATCGAAACCCGGTTTTTAGCGTTACAAGTCCGCAGACCCACTGGGGGCAGAGAAGACTTTCAGTAACACAGTTCAAGAAAGAGTGACAATAGACAGATGGGCGAAAGGAAGAATAAGTAATTAAGTAGTATAACATTACGTCATGGTTTAAATTACATTAGTTATTACTAATTACTTTAAGTGTTATTTTACCATTGTTATTACTTCCTTTTCTCCATTAAATATCTCGCGACCCCCCAAGTGGCTCAGCAGTAAGTCTGCTGGCTAACGACGCCAAGAATCGGATTTCGATATTCGCTGTGAAGAGAACACAGGTAGCTAATTATGAAGCTATGCGCTGAACAACCAGTGCTAGCAACAATAACTCTCTCCAAGGGACAAGTAAAACAGACCAACTGGAGTTGTTCTAAATAACAACAACAACAGAAATAATAATAAAATTAAAAGACGAACATCAGTATGATATAAAAAGTGCGATTCATGTCCAGGAAGAAAAGAGAGGTATGGAGACAGACAGACAGATGGGATGGATGTCGTGACGATGAAATTAGAAATCCCAGGAGGCAACTGCCACCCATATTACGTTTATCAAATAAACAAACACATTTAGCAAAGTAGGAATAATTAAACGTTAAACGTAGTGGCTAACAATATTTATGTAAGACAGAATATAAATAAAATGTTAGACTAGGAAAGTTGTCACTAAACCTAGCGTGGATTTGATTTCCACGCACACGAAATGTAAAGCACAACATCCATCAACTAAAACTTTACAGGATTAAAATATTGTATGTACCACGCTACGAGTTGTGTTTAACGTAATACACTAAAAGTCGTGTATAAAACATTAACGTAAAAAAAAACAGAACGTAATACACTAAAAGTCGTGTATAAAACATCAACGTAAAGAAAACAGAACGTAATACACTAAAAGTCGTGTATAAAACATCAACGTAAAGAAAACAGAACGTAATACACTAAAAGTCGTGTATAAAACATCAACGTAAAGAAAACAGAACGTAATACACTAAAAGTCGTGTATAAAACATCAACGTAAAAAACAGAACGTAATACACTAAAAGTCGTGTATAAAACATTAACGTAAAAAACAGAACGTAATTCACTAAAAGTTATTTATGAAAGAACAAAAGAAAAACTGTTTGAACTTCTCTAGAGTCTAGACGAAAAATAAAATTAAACAATCTGATGACGAGGAATCCATTTTATAGAAAAAACAATGATAAAGTTGAAACTATACTTCCCACACTGAGGGTCGAACAAAATCGCAACAATACCACCAGATGGCAGTCTCTTCGAAATGTCGACAAACATCTCCACTGGGGCGTATTCAGTTATGTCACAGCAGTTGCATTCAACTGGAAGAGCAACAACAACCAGAAATGTTAAATAGCCACTTCACTTTTATTTTTATACATATACAACTCTCTTTCGTCTCTAGATACACTCAGAGACACGTATAATTTACTACTTGTCCTGTTAACATGGATCGTAAGAAGAATTAGACAGGGCAGCGTTCTGGAGTGGAACATGTATGTGTCCGTGAAAGTACTCTAGAAAGGGTCAAACATGTCTCCATGGAAATGCAAGAGTAACAGAAACTATCAAACGAAGTTTTATACTTTAGGTTTATATTCTATTTTTGCTTTTGAAAGAATTACGCTAAATTATAAGCAGAATCAAGGGTCAGTGGGGGTGCCAGCCCCCTCAAGGATTCCTCTCGCTCCCAGTTTTAATTTATAGTCTTAATCCCATTTTTATACCAAAGCCTGAAATATTATATTCTAAGATATTAAATACTCCCCCCCCCCCACACACACACAACAGAAACACTGATATCTGTGACCTAGTGAACGTGAAGAAGCCCACAATAAGTACTGTTGGTTTAGCTCTTACAATTAACTTGACGTCTGTCTCTCTTTTTTTTTTTTCTTAAATATGATTTTCTTTATATTAACTCAATCCCCAAAACGAATGTTGTTATAACCCTTCTAATTCTGTTCCCATATCTGGTCTATTGGCCCTCCAAACGAGTCGCATCCGCATAAAAGTTTGAATCTCCCTTCCCCCCCTTTTATTTTAACGAAGAGCAGCAAGTGAAAATTTGATCTGATACTTGTAAAACTTTAAACTCACCGTTTGAACTTATGCAGGATTTTGATAACGTCATGTAACAGAAGAAAGCAAGCAGGAATAGCGTTTGTCCCCTCATCGAATGACAATCTGTTTGGATTGCTCGATCAAATTGAAGAAATAAAACTGGAAATGGAGATTGCTCGTTTTGTCCTAGAATTCTGCTTCGTGGTTGTTAATACAACTCACCGACTAAAGAACAGATACTTTAAACTGTCTGGGGTATGAGAAAAACGTTAGTTATTGGTTATAGTTAAGCCAATCAGGTTGCCGGTAGGCGTGTGTCAGTTTCGACAGCAGTAAACTACAGCGTTTAATTATCATACACATAGACGAACGGAAAATTTTTCAGATTGGGTGAAGGGGAATTTTTGCCCGAATGAGGTTATGAGTAAGAAAGCTAAAGTTTAGGGAACAAGTATCCGATCCGGGGCTAATCACCAGGGAACCGTTTAACTTTATCACTCTGAAATATATTTGGAACCTTTACATTTCATTATGAATGTTGACTTACGTGGTGGTGGTGCGAATATCGAATTTATTCTCATTTTGGCCAAATAAAAACTGAAAATTTGGCTGAATGTATTACAAGCTTTACCGCCCCAAGCCTCCTCGTACGCTTATGGTAATAAATTCTCTACTTTGTAAGAGAGCAAACTAGATACATATCAGATGTACTTTCGCAGAGTGTTTTGTTTCAAGAGCAAATAAAACCAAAATTAGGCATAACAAATATTTTTATTTCTCGATTTTGAAGTTCAAATGTCATGCTGTGTTGTTGCCTACAGAGTGCATAATTCTTCTCGTGATTCGTGGCATTCGTACGTTTTACTGACGTCACGACGGTACAAATTACAACGTTAAGGGTCCCTTATGTAACGTCATTTTAGTGTCGACTGACTGACAGACAACACACTACTGTATAGTGGTGAGAGTGGTTAAATCAGGTGACTACTCCAGGTGGCCTTAGGCCCTCTTTCGTGGAAATGATTAAAAGATAGAGG